TGTGTGTGTGTGTGTGTGTGTGTGTGTGTGTGTGTGTGAGAGAGAGAGAGAGAGAGAGAGAGAGAGAGAGAGAGTTCCTGTATGTCCATCAGGGTGTGCATGGTTCTCACTATCAGCTCCTTGATTTCTTTTTGACTTGTGAACCTGAGTTATGTGTCTGAGTGTATATCAGTGCATATTTGTTTATCTGTGGGTGCTAAGCCTAGGATCCCATTGACATGTCTGTGTCATCATGTGCCTGGTTCACAGGCCTGCTCAAAGCTATGTGTCCTTTGTGTGTGACCTGGTGCAGTTCTTTGTATCCAAGAGGGGTGTCCCTTCTTCCCCTCCCATTCTTCCATTACTTTGGTGACTAGAGGTTTCCTTTTGGAAAGTGAATCTGACTTTGTTACTCTTCTGCTCAAAACCCTTCAGTGCTTCCCATGGCCCCAAACTTAGAATCCTAGCCTGCGTGCATGACAGACAAGGCCCACGCCTACCTATCTCCATCTTTAGCCACTATGCCCCCCCCCTCCGAAGTTTGTTTGGTTTTTCAATTGGTTTTTTAGAAAGAGGGAAAGGGAGAGAGAAATAGAAACATCAATGTGAGAGAGAAACATTGATTGGCTGCTTCCTGCACACCCCCCACTAGGGGTTGAGCCTGCAGCAGTCAGGACACATGTCCTGACTGGGAATCGAACTGGGACCTCTCAGTCCATGGGACAATGCTCAATCCACTGAGCCACACTGTCTGGGCCCCCCTCAAACTTTTTACTCCAGTCATACCTACCTAATTGTAGCTATGTGCACAATGCCATTCAAGTCTGAAATGCCCTTCTCTTGTTTCTTTATCAAGCAAACTTACTCCTTTTGCAAGTCTCTGGTGAAGTAACACCTAAATTGAGAAGACTTCCAGACTTCTCCATGCTCAACTGAGTTAGGATTCTTTCCTGTTCTCCCACATTTTCTGCCTATGTTCGTACCCTTGACCCTCATCACCATTACTCTGAAGGCAGGACCTGTGCTGTATTTCCCATCCTATGGGATGGGAAGGTTCCGAAGAGACTTAGTCCTATCCCAGAGGAAAGTTTCCTGCAGTTTTCAATGTAGTACCCAGAGTGACCACTAGAGAGCGTATGGACACCTCTGCTGGACCATCCAGCGAGTGTGTGTGTGTGTGTGTGTGTGTGTGTGTGTGTGTGTAATGGGTGAAAAGGAGGCTTTGATACTGTACTTGGGAGAGAACTGGAGTGGATAGGGGGTCCACCCATTTCAGTACTAGAACAGTGGGATTCAAGGTAGAGTCACCCCCCTCATAGGTCTTATGCCCCCTAAATTTCTCTCTGACTTTCCTCCAAGATTCGGGGGCCATACCCGTTGGTTTTCCAACCTTTCTACCTCTTTTTTTTTAATCCTTACCCAAGGATATGTTTCTGTTGACTTTTAGAGCGAGGAAGGAGGAAAGGAGAGAGAGAGAGAGAGATCGATGTGAGAAAGAAAAATAGACTGGTTGCCTCCTGCACGCACCTTAACCAGGGACCAAACCCGCAACTTATGTACCTTGACCAGGAATTGAACCCGCAACCTTTTGGTGTATGGGCAGACACTCCAACCAACTAAGCCACACCAGCCAGGGCCCAGCCCTACTACCTCTCGCTTCTGACCTTCCAACCTTCTTCTTCTATGCCTCATCTGCGCCCTCAACCCTCCCATATACCATTATTTGCGCTTGCCTGACTTGGCCTTGCTCTTCCATACCTCTGGGCCTTTTACTCATGCTATTTCCTCAGTGGGAGATGATCTCACCCTCTGACTGCTTCATCAGGCACTTTTCTTTTACATCCTCTCAAAAGTCTCTCTTGGCCTCTAGACTGACCTTGCCCCTAAGTGTTGTAATTGTTTACTATTCTGCCTCCTGGGCTGGACCAGCCTACAGGTCCTGTGTGCAGTAAATGTGTGCAAAATCAATAAATGACTTAGTTCTTTTACAAATGCAATCCACAGCATATATGGGGCTACCCCCAGGCCCCTATCTGCACCATGCCCTCCCTGGGTCTGACTCAGGGTTAGTATTACTTTCTCATGCTGCTCCATCAAATAAAGGAATGTGGCACAGTGGGATGTAGGAGACTTTAAAATCACACACACCTGGGTTCAAATCTTGACTCTGCTATCCAGCTGTATGACCTTGGGCAAGTGTTGTAGCCTCTCAGAGTCTTTGTTTCCTCTTTTATTAAACGGAAATAGTCACACTTCTGCACTGCCTCAGGAGGATCGTATTAGATGGTGCATGTGAAACACCTAGCATTAGTCAATTACGTTTCCTCCTCCCCCACCATGAACTTGGAAATAAAATTGCCCTCTGAGTCTTAAGCCAGTAAAATCCACGCATCAGGAGAAGAGCCAGGTGGGGGAGTGAATGAGGCGAGAGATGGTTTTGTAAACGACTGGAAGGTTTTGTGAACAGTGGAAACTGCAATCAAGGTGACCCGCCTGTAATCTCAGGGAGGCAGGGCAAGGATGTGATTGAAATTGAGAAAACAGAAGCCTAATCAATTGCATTGTGCTCTATCTGAAGGAAACAGAAGGATGCACAGAAAAGGGGGTGCAATGGAGAATTTACTCAGCTGCACCAGAGAGAGGGACAGGGAACCAGTAGATACAGGGATTCCAGGCTCAGGAGGCGCTGGTCTCTGCTGAGCAGTGAGGGCCTGATGAACTTCATGTGGTTCACTGCTCTGCTGGCCCTTCGTTTAAACTCAGTGGGCATCCAATACCAGGAAGAGAGTTCCATCAGGCAGACAAATATATTTTGTTCCCAATAAAAGACTAGAGAGTCTAAGAGCACTGATTTTGAAGTCAGAGGATCTGGTTCAAGCCCCTACTCTGCCAATTATGTCCTGTAACCTATTTACTTCACCGTGCCTCAGTTTCCCTATTCATAAAATGAAGATATGATAGTCTTCTCATAGGGTTCTGTGAGGATTAAACGGCAGCATGTACTACCTTTGTAAAAGGTAGTAACAAAGAGAGCTAGCATGTATTGAGCATGTTATTGCCATTTCACAAATGAGGAAATTGAGGCTGGGAGAGATGAATAACTTGCACAAAATCACACAGCTAGCAAGTAGTGGAAGCAAGATTCACACCAAGCAGCACATCTCTAGAGCTGTGTTATCTGCTTATTCCATGGCAGATGGAAACACTGGGACTCTGGCTTATATATCAGGCTCTTGGGAGTTTGGTTGGCTGGAGACCATAGCCCTCAGAAAGCCTTGGCACCTGAAAGTTTGAATGTTCAGAACCAAGGCTCCCACTCCTGTGACCACCTAAGAAGTCACTTGGTCTCTCCATCTTATTGCTCCCTATTCAGCAATCCCTAGCACAGGGCTGAACATAGGGAACTCTCAATCTGCATTGGCCACCTTGTCCCCTTTCCTTTAGGTCACTCAATTTGGGTTTCCAGGCAGTCTTTCTACCAAAATCTAGAGGGAGAAGGATCTTCCAAACATCCATTTGGAGCAGATGTGATTTCTTCCCAAAGCCTAACGACAATAAGGTCTGGTAGAAAGAATATGGGCCGCCCTGGCCGGTTTGGCTCAGCGGTTAGAGCATCAGCCTGCGGCCCTGAGAGACCCGGGTTCGGTTCCCGCTAAGGGCGCGTACCTCGGTTGCAGTTTGTCCCCGGCCCTGGTTGGTCGTGCGGGTGGCAGCCACTCGATGTGTTCCTTTCACATCGATGTTTCTCTCTCTCTCTCTGTTCCTCTCTCTCCCTCCCACTCTATCTGAACAAGAAATGGAAAAATGTCCTCGGGTGAGGATAAAAAAAAAGAAAAAAAGAGCATGGGCCTTAGTGTGAGACTGGGGTTCAAATCCCAGCTCTGTCACATATAGCTGTGTGACCCCTGAGCCTCAGTTTCCTCATCATAGAACCAGATTCAGACTAGATTGAATTAATGTAAACACATCTGGCATTCAGCAGACATGTAAATGAATTATTATAATTATTTCTCTCCAGCCTGACTGTGAACTGCTCCAGGGCAGGGACTAGTCTTGCTCATGTTTGTGCTCCTGGCATACTGCTTAGCAAAGGGCCCTCCACAAAGCTAATGTTTAGTAATTGTTTGCCTATTGCAGCAGTGATTCCTGTAGCTCCCAGCCTCTTTCTCTATCCACCCTCATTGCACAGGTGCATGGCAGGTTGTTCAGCACCTTCAATCCCTGCCCGCTCCATGACAGTAGGAGGCCATTGTCATTGTCACAAACAAAACTGCCTCCAAACCTCTCCAAACACCCCCAGGGACAGAGCTGCCCCAAGTGAGATCCAATGAGCTAGGCTAATTGTCAGGCCTTTCCTCTCCCCTTCTTCTGTCTTCTTTTTGGGGAGCTGCAGAGGGTCCACTGTGACCTTCCCCCACTCCCCCTATTGGGAGAGGCCTGCTGCTATACCTGTGATGAACAGTAAATCTGTGGGAATCAAGTAAAGAATCAGCAAACTGCCTGGCCGGTGTGGCTCAGTGGTTGAGCATCGACCCGTGCACCAAGAGGTCACCAGTTCGATTCCAGGTCAGGGCACACACCCAAGTTGTGGGCCCGATTCTCAGTGGGGGGGCGTGCTGAAGGCGGCCAATCGATATTCTCTCTCATCGATGTTTCTCTCTCTCTCTCTCCCTCTTCCTTCCTCTCTCTCTAAAATATCAATAAAGAAAAATAAAAATTAGCAAATCCATTGCATGCAGATTGAAAGCCACATTAGTAATGAAGGTGACATTTTTGTTGCTGTTAATCTTCACTAGAGAGAGTGAAAGGGTGGGGGTAAGGGGAGAGAGAGAGAGAGAGAAACATCAATGTGAGAGACATGTCGATTAGTTGCATCTGCAGGCACCCTGACCAGGGCTGGGGATCAAACCTGCAACCCAGGTACATGCCCTCGACTGAGAATCGAACCTGCGACCCTCTGGTGCGCAGGCTGATGCTCTAACCACTGAGCAATGCTGGCCAGGGCTGAAGGTGACATTTTGCTCTCTAGCCACCTGTCTTCTGTATCCATCTTTCAACTTGTTCTAAAGTCAGTGAGGCCAAGCATCAGGACTTTTGGGTCCTAAAACACCCCTTGGGTACTCTATGCTTAGGAGGTATTAGGGCACTCTCTCACACCCTCCTCTTTCCAGCAGCCTAAGCAGCCCCACTCACCTCCTACTGATCATCACTCCCCCCAAAGAAAGGGATTTTCATAGCTGGAGGATTCATATAATCATTTTCTTATTTACAAAATCAATAAACACACACATGATTTGGGGGTGAAGAGAGCCCTCCGCAACCCTCTTCCTCAGTCTGGGCCTTGGACTCCAGTCCTGGACTACAGGATACACCAGCAGGAAAGGGATCCAGCAAAGCTTTTCCTTCTCTTTGTAACTTATACGAGAAAATTGAGTAGGAGGTGAATTCTAGAGTCCTGGACCAGGATGGGAGGACAGGGTAAAAATGCAGGATGGGAGGACAGGGTAGGAATGCAGGATGGGAGGTGAAGGAAATGATATAGTTTTATAAATAACTAGACAAGATCTGAGCATTTTTTGGGGGGGGAGGGAGAGAGGGAGACTAGAGGCACATAGGGCCCTAAATTGGAAGGACAGAAATAGTGCCTGGGACCACACTGGGTGAGGGGTAATCTCTGAGCCTCTATTTGCCCGTTTTAAAAATGAGTGGGTTGCCCTCCATGGCATCAAAGCGACCTGCTTGCTCGGACATACCAGGACTCTACAGGGTTCTAAGCCTGGGGGCTTTGGGACTAGAGATGTGGGGATTGAAAAGGGCTTGTGGGCACCCCGAGAGAGGTAGCGGATGCCCAAACAGGCTATGTCTGATCCCCAGGCTGGTACTGGGGTTCTGAGGAGGTGAAGTAGTCCTCCAAAAAGGACTGCAGGTACTCAAACGTAGGCCTCTCCTCTGGGTCCAGACGCCAGGTCTGCAGCATGGCCTCATACAGGGATACTGGGCAGCCTGGGGGGCACGGCATGTGGTAGCCATGCTCCACCTGTTCCAACACTTCCCGGTTATTCATGCCTAGAAGATGAGGCTCCATCAGTTAGGGGGTCTAGCCCCTCCCAAAGAAGCAGCCAGGAGGAAGTCCTTCTCCATGACCACCCTTCCACCTCCCCACTCCCCAGCAAACCTGGGTAAGGGACTCGGCCCTTGCTGATGAGTTCAGTGAGTAGGATTCCAAAGGACCACACATCTGATTTGATGGTGAATCGACCATAAAGGGCAGCCTCTGGGGCTGTCCACTTGATGGGAAACTTGGTCCCTGGAAAGATTGGAGGAGAAGGGAAAGCCAGTGAGAGGGGAGTTCCTGGGAACAGCTGGATTAAAAGAATGGTGTCTTTAAGGTTGGGGACCCTGAGCACAGAGGTCTCTGGACATAACAGAAAGGATCCAGTATTTAACCAGCACCTACTATATGTCTAGTATAGTGCTGGGCACTTTACAAACATTGTAAATTCTCATAATAATAACATCTAACACTTGTACAGTATGTCTTCACTCAATGCTGTTAATAGATTCTTGGAAAGTGCAACTTTAAGTGAAATGATGTATAAGAAAACCAATTTTACCTTAGGCTAATAATTGATAAAAACAAGAGTTAAGTTCCTGCGGCATATATCTGGACACAAAACATCACCAAACTTCTAAATAAAGATCCCAAACACTTCCAATATTAAACATTAAAATAAATGTGAGCTGTACATACATTTAAGAACAATGAATAAAACCACATAGGATAATTATTTTCTAATCTGCTTATTCCAGTTTAGGGTCGAGGGTAACTGAAGCCTCTCCCAGCAGCTCAGGACACAAATCGGGACCCCACCCTGAGCAGGACGCCCTTGCATTGCAGGGTGCGCTCACACACGCTCACTCAGACAGGGCCGGTGTAGACACGCCCATTCACCTCACATGCACAGCTTCGGGACGAGGGAGGAAACCAGAGGACCCAGAGAAAACCCATAAAGGCATGAGGAGAACATGCAAACTCCACGCAGACAGTGGTCCCAGCCGGAAATTAAATTTTTCTCATCAATATTATAATAAAACGACGTTGAACAAATTGACATTATTCGAGGACCTGCTGTACAGCCTTCACTACATGCCAGGTGCTGTCTTAAGTGATTTACATGCATTAACTCATTTAAACCTCACAAAAACCCCTTGAGATACCTACTTTTATAATCCTTATTATACAGATAAGGAAAAGGAGGCAGACCACACAGTTTATAGGTGGTTAGGGTTCATACCCAGGCATTCTGGCTACAGAGTTCATGCGATGATACTTTTTGTGTTTCACTTGAGAATTACAGTAGTACCTGGCACATAGTAGGTGCTTGATAAATATTTGTTGGCTTACTGTTGTCTGAGAGTTTTCTTTTTTTTTATCCTCACCTGAGGACATTTTTCCATTTTTTTGTTCAGATAGAGTGGAAGGGAAAGAAAGGAAGAGAGAGAGAAACATCGATGTGAAAGGGACACATTGAGTGGCTGCCACCCGCACGACCCAACCAGGGCTGGGGACAAACTGCAACCGAGGTACATGCCCTTAGCAGGAACCGAACCCAGGTCTCTCGGGACCGCAGGCCTACGCTCTAACCGCTGAGCCAAACCGGCCAGGGCTGAGAGTTTTTATTTTACAGATGAGAAAAGATAGCTCACAGAAGTTAGATGACTTGCCAAGGCCACATGGCTAATAAGTGGAGGAGCTTGGATTTGAACCCAGAGTTGCCTCTTATACTACATCAGAATAGGAGTGTCCCAGATGGTCTGGGTTGGGGAAGAGTTCCTGAGTATGTGAGGCCCAAGGTGGGATGAGGCAGGGCACCTTGCCGGGGGTTGTACTCATCATCCTTAATGAGACGGGCCAGCCCAAAGTCAGCAATCTTGCACACCAGCCGCTCCCCTACGAGGATATTGGCTGCCCTCAGGTCACGGTGGATGTAGTTCATGCGCTCCATGTAGGCCATGCCGTCAGCTACCTGGGGGCCAAGGTATGGAGAGATGGGAACACCAGGGCTATGTGACAGATCATTTGAAAACCAACTTTCCAAATGAGGAGAGGGAGGCTCAGAGATGGCCAACGCTCTCTGCCTCTGCTTGCACAGCTGATGCAGTGGGTGGGGTTTCATGTCCAGGGGTAGGCTAAGTGCTAAGGGCACAGGGATTTAAGGGCACAGGGATGTGTGGAAGGTTAACAGGAGGGGTGTCTGAGAAATGAAGACTGCTGTCCCAGTTTACCTGGGCTGCCATGTCCACCAACTGGGGCAGTTTCAAATCATGGCCTTCTCGGTCCTTGAGGAATTCCAGTAAGCTACCTGGGGAGAGGAACCCAAAAAATCAGCTGCAAGACCCTGCTCTCAGTTCCAGGCCAGCCTGGTCTCCCTTAACCCCACCCCTAGCTAGAACCCATCTCTACAGCCCCGTCCCTTGCTCCCAGCCCTCTCATTTAGATCCGCCCCCACTCAGGTACCCCAACCCTTCTCAAATCTTACCCGGGCCCCATCCACAGACACCCTGACTCTGACCCCAGCTCTTTGCTTCTCTTCCTATGTCCTCCCCCAGACACGCCCCACACAGACTCCTCCCCAGACCCTACCTCATCTCAGATCCCGCCTTCACTCGCCCAAGCCCCACCCACCAACTGACCACACCCCACGCCCGCGGCTCTGCACCCAGACCCTGACCCCAGTCTTGTCTAATTTGACCCGGCCCCCGTGCCCAGCACTCTTGTGGTCTCACTTCTCAGGCGCCTCTCTCGGACTCTGCTTCGTCCCATCACAGATCGCCACCCAAGTCCCTCCCCTAGAGACACTAACCTTAACTTCGTCCCAAATCCCGGCCTCCCCCCAGTCCCCGGCCTTCGCCCCCGCCCCGCTCCTCACCGTGGCACATGAACTCCGTCACAATGTAGATGGGTTCCTCCGACACCACGGCGTACAGCTGCACCAGCTTGTCGTGTCGCAGCAACTTCATGACCTGCGCCTCCTCCAGGAAGGCCTTCGGGGACATGGTGCCTGGCTTCAGCGTCTTCACCGCCACCTTCGTGGTGCCGTTCCACGTGCCTGCCGAGCGCCCACGGCTCGTCAGGACCGGCTCCCTGCCAGCCCAAGCCCTCGCGCCGGCCCCAGGCCCCGGCCCCGGCCCCGGCCCCTGGGACCTCCGTACCCAGCCATACATCCCCGAAGCAACCGGTGCCCAGCCGGCGCTCGAGCGTGATGGAACTGCGGTGGATCTCCCAGGCGTCCTTGGCCAGGCCCAGCGTCTGCGGCTTCATGGTCGTGCAGGCCGCTGTGAGCAGGTGGCACAGCCCGTCGTTCACCTCTGGGGAGCCGGGTGTTGGAGGTCACAGTAGGGCCTGAACGGCCCCCATTCCTCATCCCACCCCAGCCTCCAAGAGCAATTATAAGGAACTAGGCCACAGGTGAGGTCACAGGCCAGGGCAGAGGCAACTCGTCCCACTGAGTAGGTAAACATGTTGGCGCCCAGGGAAGGAGGTGGCACCAAGAGGGTGAGGTGATCCCTGTAAGGACTGGGGGGCTTCTCATAGAATGTGGCCAGCTGGGTTTCCAAGAAGAAGGTGGGATTCTGACAGGTGGAAATGGAGTTGAGGATTCCACACAAAGATGTGGACATGCAACCCTCACTCTTCCATGGCCCTCACCCTTTCCCTAATCAACCAAAGCAGAAACCTGGGCATGATTCCCACGTTCCCCTTAACCAGGCAGTCCATATTCCAAGTCAGTCCTGTTCTGCCTCCTACCCAGCTCAGGCATTAGGGGGCACCTCTTCACTCTGGAATGAACAGCCTCAGCCCCAGTTTCTGGAATCCTACAGAGCAGTAGCCTGGGTGAGAGCCCAGATTGGGTTCTAGTCCTGGCCTGCCACTCCCGCTTTGGAGACCCCTCTGGGCCTCAGTCTCAGTGGGTTGGGTCAGGGATTTGCAGCACACACCAGCCCCAAGGGCCCACCCTCACCCATGTAGTGCTGCACCAGCTCCTGCACTGAGTCAAACTGGGCCCGCGCCGTGATGTAGTAGCCACCCGTGTCCAGCTTTCGGATCTTGTAATGCTTCACGTGATCACCTCTGGCCTGGTCCCAATCCCGGATGGACAGAGAGTAGGCACCTGTTGGGAGGGGTCACCTTCAGGCCTGCTTTCCCTGAGCCCAGTCTGGAAGCCAGGACAGGCCCCAAAGACTGGAAACTCTGAAGTTGGATGGCCACATCCCTTGAACCCAGTCCCAGTCTTAACTCTGCCCCTCCACCTTGTCCCAGTCTTGACCCTGACCCAAGCCCACCCCATCACTTTTATCCCCACCAACTGCTCCTAGCCCTATCCTAATGGCTAGGCTGTCCCGGTCCAGGGCCAGCTATGGCATAGCTCCCACCTTTGGTGGTCTCGCTCTCCCGAATGAGAAAGGCTCCCTGGGGATTGCCAGGGGAGAGCAGCTGCCTCTCCGAATCCTTCCTTCCGATCTTTCCAAAGTACCACCTGTTGGGAAGGGCCAGCAAGAGTCAGGAGGTACACACTCAGTTCTGCCCCCAAGTCAGCCTCCTGGGAAAGAAAAGTCACCTCACAAGCCAATATTCAGTGTCCTCACCCGTGAAAGGGGGCTCGTACACCTACTTCACAGCCTGGGCGTGAGGATCACAGAAAAGGGGAATTAGAATGCTTGGCACACAGTAGGTGCCCAATAATGGTTAGGCTTCTCCTCTCGACTTTCTGGCTTTCTCTTGGATTAAAATTGCTAGTGACCTCATCAGGGTGCCACCAGTCCATCATTCCATCTCATTATTGCTCTTCCATGAGTTCATTTTATAGATGAGGAACTTGAGGCTGGGAGAGAAGTGACCTGCCTGTGAGGCCTGCGGTAAGCTGTGTTTGAAATCCTTTGCAGTCCACTCCTCATTCTTTTCACACCATCCCAGGCAGTCACTCAGATCCCTCTCCCCACACCCACCTGCAAACCCTTTCCTCCTTTGGCTTCCAGAACAACACTCCTGCCTCTCTTCCCCTCTTTCTGACTGCTCCTGCCTGGCTCCAACCGCTGCTTTTCCTCCGTTCTTAAATTTGGATATTGTTCTAAGTCTCAACTTCAACTTCAGGCCTTGAGCATTCCTGTTCTCTCTTGGATATTCTTCCGTGACTGAACTGTAGCCTCAAACCAACTGTGGGAGTACACTGGGGAGATGAAGTGACCATAGCTGCCACAAAAGAATCAGATGTCATTCAATCACTAAATTGGCTCATGACCATCTTGGGCTCAATTAAAAGGAGCATAGTTTTCAAATCAAGGGAGGTGGCAGTCTCAGTGAACTCTGAAGTTGTCATCCCACACCTGGGTACTAGGTACATTTTGGGGAACAGGGAAAAGCATTGGCAAATGGAGTATCCAGGAGGGTAGGCAGGATGGAGAAGGAAGAACTGTCGAAGGACTGTGTAGACAAGACACATTTCCAAGTTTTTTCAGAGCCCTGCTCCCACCCACACCCACAACATTAGTTACTTCCTTAATAATAACAGCACTTATTTCATGTCAGGCTCTGCTTTAATACATACATGTATTCATTTAATTCTTATAACAATGCTGTGAGGTAAGTACTATTATTAATCCCCATTAGACAGGAGAGGAAATTGAGATACCTTGTGGTTAAGCAACTTGACCAAAGCCACAGGCTCTTAAGCTGTGTTGCCAGAATAGGAACCCAAGCTGTCTGCTCTAGGGCCTGCACTCTTAATGACCACACTATTTTTAACAGTGACACTGCACCTAGTGCTTCTCAGGACTTCATGACACTACCCCCAAGATGTGGACACAAGCATGAACCCCACAAACCTCCCATCTTCTGCATCATCACCCCTCCTCTCCTCCATGCCTCTTACTATCCTCCACAGAAGCTCACCCCACTTGAGCTCTGGACCCTGTCCACCCGCCCGCCCCCTTCTCAGAAACACCTCTCCACCAACCAACCCCCATCTGCAGCCTCTCCATACCACTAACATCTACATATGCCTACATTTATTCCTTCCCCAAAGGAAACTGTCTAAGCCCTACCTTGCCATCAACATTCTATTATCTCTCTCCTTTTCCCTTCACTTGAAAAAGCACTTCACACTTGGGTCTCCACTTCCTTACCTCCTACTCCTTCCCAGGCTCTGCTGTCTGGCCTCCACCCCACTTCACAAAGAGAGATCTCTCACAAAGGTCACCCCCATTGCCAAATCCAGTGGAATCCTCTGATACTCATTTCTCTTGTTTTCTGAAACCTCTCCTCTGCCCTCTTGGTTGACATGGCCTGGCCTGGTTTTCCAGTGGCTCCTTCTTCTTGGGCAACTTTCTTCAAAGTTGGGTCCTAGGGTCAATCTCTCTCATATTCCTCCCTCTTCCTTTACCCTCCTGTACAGCTTTAATTATCATTTCCACTCTGAAGAGTCCCAAATTTCCACCCCAGCCCAAGTGTGCCAGAGGCAAGAGGCACAGCAAACAAACTAAGAGCCTTAGTGTCAATCAGAAGAAGATGCCCCTTTCTCTAGGCTAATTCAGGGCCTGGCTTGGCATGGGCTGGACACCCTCCATAAAGTTCAACTGAATCTACTTGCTGGCAGTCTCCTCCTCCTCCTCCACTGGGTGTTCCTATCCATGAAACTTAACCAAACAAGCCCCCCGTAGAAACTGACCTGCTCCTATGTTTCCCACTTTAGCAAATGTCACCATCAACCACCCAATTCTTCACGGAGACTTTAGGTCACCCTGGATTCCTTCCATTCCCCGTACCCCAGTGGCAAATCAGTCACCAAGTCCTGCTGATTCTCACTCTGCAGTCTCTTCAATCTTTCCTTTTCATATATATGTATGTATATTTCATACATATATGTATGTATATATACACATACACACACATATATACATATTTTATATATGCATATATACGTATTTATATAGATAGATAGATAGCTTAAAAATATTGATGAGCCTCAGTTTCCTCATCTGCAAAATGGGGACAACAGTAAGATCAGTAATGTGAGAAGTAAATGAATCAAGGTGGGCAATGCACCTGTAGCAGTATCTCAAGTATGTAAAGGTACTCCATGAATAATCCCTGCCTTCTTAATAGATTTAATTCTAAGTAATATCCCCTTGCATTTGTTTAGCACTTTACAATTTTTTTTAAAGCCCACGCAACAGCATCATATTGTTAGAGAAACAGACAACTCGGTGGAACAGAACTGAGAGCCCAGATATAAAACCACATGTACATGGACATATAATTTTTGACAAAGGAGTCAGAAACACACAATGGAGTAAAGATAGCTTCTTCAATAAATGGTGCTGGGAAAATTGGAAAACCATATGCAAAAGAATAAAACTAGATTATAGTTTGTCACCATGTACAAAAATTAATTCAAACTGGTTCAAAGACCTAAATATAAGACCTGAAATAATAAATTACATAGAAGAAAACATAGGTACCACACTTATGGACCTTGGCCATAGAGAACATTTTATGAACTTGACCCCAAAGGCAAGGGAAGTAAAAGCAAAAGAAATGAATGGGGCTATATCAAACTAAAAAGCTGCATAGCAAAAGAAACCAACAACAAAATAAAGAGGCAGCTGACCAAATGGGAGATGATATTTGCAAACAATAGCTCCAACAAAGATTTAATATCCAAAATATATAAAGAACCCAATAAAAAAATGGGCAGAGGACCTGATCAGACACCTCTCCCAAGAAGACAAACAGCCAACAGATATATGAAAAGATGTTCAACCTCACTAGCAATTAGGGAAATGCAAATCAAAACTACCATGAGATACCACTTCACACCTGTTAGAATTGCCATTATTAACAAGACAATACGTGTTGGAGAGGTTGTGGAGAAAAGGGAATCCTCATTCACTGCTGTTGGGAATGTAGACTGGTACAACCAAGTAGACTGGCAATTCCTTAAAAATTTAAGAATAGAGCTGCCATATGACCCAGCAACCCCTCTCTTGGGTATATACCTGAAAAACTCTAAAACATGTATTCACAAAGATATATGCACCCCTGTTGTTCATTGCAGCATTATTCACGGTGGCCAAGACAAAGAAACAACCAAAGTGTTCTGCGATAGAGGATTGGAAAAAGAAGATGTGGGACATATACACAATGGAATACTACTCAGTCATAAGAAAGGATGAAATACTGCCATTTGCAACAACATGGGTGGATCTTGAGAATATTATGCTACGTAAAGTAAGGCAGAAAAAGCTAAGAATCATAGGATTTCCCTCATATATGGGATATAAAACTGAAACGTGAACACAAATAGCAGTTTGGTGGTTTCCAGAACGAAAGGGAAGGGGTGGGGAGGGAGACGGGGGCCTAATTATATGGTGAAGGAAGGTGATTTAACTTTGGTTGGTGGGCGCACAGAGCAATATACAGATCTTGTAACATAGAAACCACCTGAAAACTATATAATCATATTAATCAATGTCACCCCAATACATTTAATTAAAAAAAAAAAAAAAAAAACTCATGCACTGTTGTTATCACTGAGAGAAAATATGTATGATGCTGAGCAAATGCAGCCAGATGATCTGGGTTCAAATACCAGCTCTACCTACTTACTAGCTTTGTGAACTTGGGTAGGATATTTAATTTCTCTGTGCCTTATTTCCTCATTTGTAAAACAGAATAATATTAGTTCCTAACTCCATTAATACACAGAAATCACTTGAATAGTGCCCAGATCATAGTACATGCTAGGTAAGTATCATCTACTATTACTATCATGATCTTCTTTTATTCCCACAATTACCTTACAGAATTATCGATAGGAGATAGAATGGAGCTGTGACTTGCCCAAGAGATAACCTTGAGTCTGGACTCCAGAATACTGTTCATAGGGCTGGTCTCCCCTCAACCTCTACTCACTCTTCAGCCTGGATGGAGTCCACAGGGGCCACATAGTTGCTGGGAATGTAGCCAGTTCGTCCAGAGCTGAGGGAACGAACCTCCCACCAGTCACCTTCACTGCAGGCACAGAACAAGGGGTATCAGCAGCAACCTAGCCCCCTGGGATACCGTGGGGCCAGGCAGGGCCACACAAAGGATCAGGTAGAGACTGGTCCTGCCAATGCCTGACCTTGGACACACACCCCAGGGCTTTTGTCTGTTCTGACCCCAGCCTCTACTGCTGCCCCAGGAGACTGTTCCTTGCAGAAGAAATATATTTGGGAACACCTGGGCCTTCTGACTTTCTCCTCTGGCTCCAGCACTGGGCTGGGTTTGGGTAGGCAATGGACAGCTAACTAGATCACTTCCCCACTGAACCCCACCCTCAGTGGCTACATATTTCCTTCTGGATAATATCCAGACTCCTCAACATGGCTTATGAAGCCCTGCGGATATGCTCACACCCACCTCTCCAGCCTCCGCTCTCTCTGTTCAGCACCTCATACTTTATGACCCACCTGGACTGAACCACTTTGTGGTTTCCATAAGTCATCATTTAGTCTCATTCTCTCTGACTCTCTCTCCCTCTTTTCTCACCTCTTCCTTTCATGTCTATTCATTTCTCTACTCTCAGCTTAGAAATTACTCCTCCAGAAGGCCTGCCCTGATCACCACCACCCTGGATCCCATGTTTGGTGTTCTTTCTGTGCCCATAGTTCCTCATGCTCCCCTTACATAGTGGCAATCACCCAGTGTTGTTATTGTCAAGTATCTGTGTCTCCAACTAAGCTGGAGCTTTCTGGGGATAGGGACCAGGAAGAATTCCTCTTTGGGTCCTGCTCTCAATCCAGACCATGCCCAGAGCTGAGTGGCCTGGTACTTACGTATTGTTCAGGATGTGGAACTTCTCGCCTTTGGTGAAAGTGAGGTCATCTTCTGTCCGGGCCTCATAGTCGTACAGGGCGATGAACAAGGTCACCCCAGTCCCTGCAGAGTGAGGGCTACTTAGCAGAGTAGGACGCAGGATGGGGGCACCAAGGGGACTGCACTTGTAGAGCCCTATTCCCCCGCCAGGCGCTGTGCCTTCCCGCCACTGTGTCCTGCTTCCCAAAGGCCTCTAGAGTCCCATGGATTTCCAATTTGGGCTTCACAGCTTGGCCTCCGTTGGATTCAAGACACACACCTTCAAGACCATCCCTCCCAACCTGGGGAGTTGCCAGGTCACCAACTCCTCTTCCCCTCCAAGAAGACTTCCCAACTGTATCTGTCATAAGGGTCCCTCTCTCAAACTGGGACAGAGCTATTTGCCCACAGATGGGTTTCTGAGGGTAGGGCTGTCTGTATCTGCTCAGGGTGCACGCTGAAAGCCGGGCTGTGTTTCCCATGTCACACTGGAGGCTCCTAAGGACAAGTCCACATCTCCCCTTTTCCCAGGGCCCAGGCAGTTCCTGCCTCCAGCCTCCTGGACTCACCTGAGATTCCCCTGATGGTGCTCCCATCAAAGAAGGCAGGGCTGGTGGGCTGAGGGCAGAAGTTGTTGTAGTTGGGGATATGGGCAAAGGAGGACACAGGCTGGGCCTGAGTAGGGTCAGGGCCATAGCGGTCTGCAGCCCCATAGCTCCTGAAGTCCCCTTCCAGGCCAACTTCGTCCTTGTGCCCCGGCTCCAACTTCTTGCAGAACACACAGCCCATTCCAGGTGTCCTGCTAAAAAATGGGGGCATGCCTCATTCGGGGGCTTCTGCCAGATATGCCACCCTGTGCACATATGCACAGGGGCACACACACATACACAACGCCAGGTCCAGCTGTCTAGCCAATGACTCTGTCACAGCATGCAGCTTTCCCTCTCAAGTCTGGAATAAGGGGTCCTCCCTGGTGAGGGGTAAAGCTGGGCAGGGCTACCCTTGGATCTACCTACCAGCTGCTTTAGTGTATTTGGAGGGAGTATGTGTATCCTCACTGGGGCTGGTTTTCTGCTCCCAAATGTTGCTGTGCTTATTTATATATTTTTGCCACTTATTGCTTCAATATGTTGTCTTTCTGTGACTCCTTCACAGTGCTTGTGTGTGTATCTTTTGTGTGTCTCTAAGTATTTGTGAGTTTGTGTATGGGTATGTGTCTGTGTGTGTATGTGCATGTGAGTGTCTGTGTATGTAAGTGCATGTACATATCTGTGTATGGGATGGCCCTGTGTGTGCTCATGTCTTATGATTGTGTACATATGTACGTGTTTCTGTGAGAGTGTGAATGAGTGTGCCTGTGTGTGCCTGTGTGTGCCTATGTGTGTGGATTCCTGTGCACGCAGGTCTGTGTGAGTAGGTGCCTCTGTGTGTGTTATCACCATGTGCATAGCCCTGTGTGGGAGTATCTATGCCTGTCTGTGTCTGTAGCTCTGTGGAAATATGTGTGACTGTCTCTGTGCATATGTGTGTGTCTTTCTTTATATGTGCATGTTATGCATGTGTGTGTGTGTGAGTGAATGTGTGTGAGGGCTGTGTGCCTGTATCTGGAGATTCCCAACAGAGGGTGATCAAGGCCATTTCCTGTTGTGGGTCCAGCCTCTGGCCTCTCAAGCTGCCTCATTCTGGCTCCCCTATCTGTTACCTAGCAACAAGGCCCTTGAAGGAGGAGGGGGCTATGAGGAGTTGTGGGGCCCTAAAAGGCCACCCCAACACGAGTTCCCAACCCTCAAAGCCGATGACTTTTGGGGAAGGGCTCCTGAGTACAGAAAGCCCTCCATTCCCACTCGCCTCACTCACCCCTCAGGCCCCTACTCCTTGGTCAATTGGGCTGCAGCATGGTCCTTGGGAGGGGCCAGAGACCTGAGGGGGAGACAGAAGGACATAGAAGATGAAGGTTCTGCCAATGTTCTTGAAAGCCAGTTGCTGGCTCCTGCACTCTTCAGGAAGCTAGAAGGCCTGGGCTCTGCCCCAGCATGACTTCTGCCTTCATTTCCCTTCCCGCCGCCCCTGGCACACTGACACATTCACCCTCACACAGGATATACCCCCCACACTGACTCCCTCACACTCATATCCACCTGACACACCAACACACTACTACATATAGTAACACACACCAGCAACAGTCACACACCAACACAGCACACACTTGCATTAGTGTGCTAAACAACACCACTGCATACCAACACCAACTCTCACACAAGCCTAAACTCTGATGCATAGTAATATGAGCGCGTGCGCGCACACACACACACACACACACACACACACACACAGAGGCTGCCTCTCAAGTAAACAGACTTGAACACTTGGACACTCATATTTTAGTGTTAGATCCATTTCTCTAATTGGATTTCTATCAAGCCATGCTCAGCTCATCCTTGGATTGCCAGTCACTGTCTCCTAAAAACACTGTCTCCTTCCTTTGGAAGCTGCCTCTGCTCCCAGTCTGGGCTGGTAAACCCCGGCAGCCCACGGCTACATCTGGTGGCAGAGTAAAAATTGGACACCTACCTCCAGTGCTTGTCCTATCCTCACATCAGGGAAAGGCCCAGGTCAGAAGCCAGGGCCACCAGGATCCCTTGGGGAACCCACCAATGTGCCCAGCCTTTCCCGGTAACTGTGTCCCCTGAGCAACAGGCTAGCAGGTCATTGAGCAAAAGCTCCCCACACCCCGCCAGAAACTCTGGCATTGCAACACTCAAAGAGGAACTGCTGGGGAAGGAGCTCAGTTTCCTAAGACGTAAGAGGAATGGAGAGTTGCAAGTGGGTTCAACCCAGTGAACACTGATTTCCCCAGAGGGGCCCTCGGGCCCTCGCCTTGCCTTTCTTGACCCCTAAGTCCAGTTCCCATTATGGATATCTTCCTCCTCTTCTCTCTGGGTCCCGCCCCTCCTACCAATCACCACTCACCTCTTCCGGGAAGCTTTCCTGGATCCACCAAGTCCAGCTGCCTAGCCGATGACTCTGTCACATCAGTACCCTGATCCACCCTAGCCCTACTACCACTCTCACCCTTCACTGTAATTGTTCTCCTGTGGAAGGCAGGGCTGACACCCATGTGGTGAACTGTGAAGCTGGCTGTGGTAAGAAACCTAAAATAGGCCTTTTGCCAAGCCATTGCAGAGATCTTCACCTCAGGACCCTTCCCCTGGGGCAAAACCAGTGTCTAAAAGGCTCTAGGATGTTGCAGGGCTGGTGAGGGCCAGGGAGAGAATGGAGGTGGGAGTGGCATCCAGGGGTTTCAGACACTGAGGGAACCATGGGGGTAAGAGGAAAACAAGGGTTACAGGATAAGAATAAAAGTCTTCACACAGGAAGACACATGCATATCTCAAACGGCACACACGGCCTATAACCAGAACCACATAGCTCTCCTGACACACTTTCACACACACACATGGCACCTCATGCAGAGACTCTGAGCTCCTCTGTACAGATTTACACACACACACATACCCTCTCCACAAGAATAGCATATACAGACTTTTTTTTTTTTTTTTTATCCTCACCTGAGGATATTTTTCCATTTTTTGTACAGATAGAATGGGAGGGAGAGAGAGGAAGGGAGAGAGAGAGAGAAACATCGACGTGAAGGGACACATCGAGTGGCTGCCACCCGCACGACCAACCAGGGCCGGGGACAAACTGCAACCGAAGCATATACAGACTTTATAGTATTTACGATGTGCCAGCCACTTGCATTAAACACTTCACATTTATTATCTCATTTTATTCTCATAACAACCCTATGAGGTAAGTGTTATTATTATTCATAAGGCAACAGAGGCACAGAGAGGTTTAGAAACTTGCCCAAGATCACACAGTTGATATATCCCGGCATTTGGCTCCAGAACCAGAGCCACTTCTTTCCATTGCCTGTTCATAGACATGGATACTGACAGCCATTTCTACAAGTATGCGCAGATACATGGAACCCCCATAGGGACATACAGTGCTCCCAGATGGCGGACCCACACAGAGCTCCCTTCTATATTAATTTTTTTTTAATCCTCATCCAAGGATATTTTTCCATTGCTTTTTCAGATAGAGTGGGAGGGAGGGAGAGGGAGAGAGAGAGACAGAGGGTGAGAGAGAGAGAGAGAAACATCGATGTGAGAGAGACACATCGACTGGTTGCCTCCTGCATGACCCCAACCAGGGCCGAGGATGAACCACAACCAAGGTATGTGCCCTTGACTGAATTCGAACCCAAGACTCTTTGGTCCATAGGTCGACGCTCTAACCACTGAGCAAAATCAGCCTGGGCGAGCTCCCCTCTATAAAAGACACAAACTTATACAACCTTTTGAGTCCCCTCATAGATACACTGTTGCCACTTGGGTACATATTACCACAATGTTTTAAAATCAGCCAAAGGGGAGCCCCAAATTCTGTATGTCTGGAATGGGGTGAGGTTCAGAAACTGTAAGCCATTGAGAAGGAGTCAGAGGGCTCTGTGGGCTGGGGAAGAGCCATAGCAGGTCCCACACCACGAGTAGTAGGCAGCAGGGTCAGCTCTCTGGGCTTTGCACTCCCGGCCTGATGGGGACCAGAGTCCATGTCTAGGCCTTGGCCCTCTGAGGGGGTTGGGGAATGTGGGGTGAGGGTATGGGGCACAGGGTGTGGTGTCGGCATGGCCCAAGGCAGTGAGGGGGTCACACTGAATGTGACCAAGCTCATAATGGCTTTCTCAGAGGAAAGAGATGGGGAGAGATAAAAAATGAAAAGGCAAAGATAGAGATTGAGAGATACAGGAAGACATAAATGCAGACAGAGAGACAAAGAGAATCCCAGTGTGATATGCTGGTATACTGACTCTTAAAAGAAAAAAAAAAGGCCCTGATTTGTAACATTTACTGATTTCCATGGTGTAAATATTCCCACCACTGTTGATTTCACGTAACTAACTTCCTGAACACTGGGCTGGAAAGAGATTCGCAGAATCAGCTCCCCAGAGCCAGCCCTAGCTGGCTCCAGCAATTCACTGCCAGAAAGAAACAAAGAGAAAGAGAGACACAGAAATGAGAAGTAGAGAGAGAGACAGAAAAAGAGAAAGGTAGAGGTGAAGAGAAAGAGTCAGAAACAGAACTAAAAAAAAAAAAGCAGAAAAGAGAGAGGGATCTTAGGAAAGTAATTTTTTTACTTCCTAGAAGTCTGAGAGGCAATAACTATTAGTTTTAAGATGCTAATCTACTGAACACCTATTCAGGGCCTGGTGTTGATCCAAGCAATTCTCATGCATGATCTCACTTAGTGACCCTATAAAATGGGTTTTATTATTACCCCTATTTTACAGATTGGGACTTGACTTTGTTCATATATATGCCTCTTGAACATCTGGTTGACAAGAGTCAGCTACCAGAGACTCATCTGGGTCAAAATCAGGTTGTAGATGTCAGAGCTGAGGTCTAACCATGGTGCCTTCAACATTTCTTCTGTGTGGCCGTACCCAACTCTGGAACCTTGGGTGAATGACATAAACCCTCTGAACCTCAATTTTTGCACCTGTACCTTCTGTGCAGTTGTTGAGAAGGCTTGAAGAGATGTGGCTCTTGCCCAGTGTGCAGTGGCTAAGTGAGGCTGAGAACCACAAGCATCAAGGCTAGAATGGCTCCCAGGGACCATTAATCAGTCACCCCTCCCCAATTTTGTGTGTAGGGGGTAACTGACTAGCTGGAGATCATACAGCCAGATAGGGTATTCAAAGCCAGGACTATTAATTCAGGCCCAGAGTTCTGTTCTCAGCACCATGGCTGTATTCTCCAAAGACTGAGCAGGGGAACATCATACTTCCTACCCAGCTCCTGGCCAGCTGAACACACCACCCTTGCAGTACCTTATGGCAGCAGGCCGCCCAGCAGGGAGCCTCCCTCCCTCCCACTCCTACTCCTGGACATAGGAGCCCCAGGCCCATACATCCTTTCTTAAGGGTCACACTTCCCAAAGCCTTGTCAGGGCTTTGATGTAGACCCAGGATATCCTGTTCTCCCCTAACCTCTGCCAAGTACTGTATCTGTTGGGTCTGGAGACAAGTTTTGGGGCAAATTCTACCCAATCTGACAACTAGCTTGAGACATTGAGTAAGTCAGTTCACCTTCCTGAGCTGCAGTTTCTTTGCCTAGAAAATAGGAATAGAAATCGCTACCTCAAGAGGTTGCTTCTACCAAATGCGGTCAAGCCACTGAAAGTACCTCCAAGGCTGAGTGGTAGGGCTGAGACGAAAGAGAAGTTCCCAGGGTGAGATGGGAGGGCTGAGCCGGCACAGCTGCCCGGGAGATTTCACCAAAAGAGAACTGGGGGCAGGAAACCACCATCCTGCAAGAGTTCCGGCTTCTCCTCAAGGCTCTGGGCTGTCCAGGGGCAGGCCAGGGCTGGAGGTACAGGGGGCAGGTATCAGCCCCATGGCACCCCATCTGTCACCAGTCACCAAGACCTGCTCCCTTTGACTGAAGGTTTTCATCCCTCACTGAGACCCTCCACCCCTCACCAATCTCCAGTGCCCTTACTGAGCCCTGATCTCCTCCACTGAGGCCCCCACCTCTCATTGAACCTCCAACCATCTCACACCAGCCTTTCTTGAGGCCTTACCATCCTCCACCCCTGAACACCCAGGGGCACAGAAGACATATCCCAATCTGAGGTTACTACCCCAGTGTGGGGGGTATGGTGGGGGAAGGATGGGGCTGGGGAGGGGGAGGAGACCTATCTTTGCCACATTAGCTTTAGTCTCCATATGGTCCTGAGGGTGTCAGCTGAAATTTTTTCCATTTCTTGTGGGTAAAAGTGGTTTTTCATCTGTTGATGAAAACATACTTATCAGCCTCTAAAGCAGGGGTCTTTAAGGATTCCGGATTCTTGGGAGATGTGAGGCATGGGTGTTCCAGGGGGAACTGAAGGAACAGGAGCCTACATTCCACAGTATGGTCAGACAGGAAGCCCCCTCTCCAGGTCCCACCTTAGGCCAGCCAGAAGGGTCCTGGCTCTGCAGCCCCCCTACCCAGCCTTTCAAGATCTAGCCACATCCTTTTCCACATCAGCCCCAGGTGGCTAGAGAGAATACCCAAATGCCCACACCTATACTTACATGCTGATGCTCATTCACTCAAAGCCAAACCCTACTCACAAACACTCTCACACCCTCATGCCCACTGAGGATCAGGAGCCAGCCATGAAGCCCATGAAACCCAAGCCTTCTTCCACTGCTTCCCCTTCACACATTCCAGAGAGCTATCTGGGATTTGGTGGGGATGAGGGGGAACTCAGGCCTCAGCTCTTGCTACTACCTTCACCATATCAGAAACAAGATGCCCTGGACTCTGGGTGTCTACCACTGGCACTGTCAGTCATTGATTCCCAAACCTCCATTTTCTTATCTGTGAAGTGGAAACAGAGGTGGGCTCTCCCACCACCACCACAAACGGAAGGCCAAAGGACCCAGGATCACTGGGTGTGGTACCATGGGTGTTGGGGACAGATCTCAAACTTGTTGACTTTCCCAATATGGGCTCTCAACAGATCACATGTATTTATTCATTAGACATCAACTATGTGCTGGGCCCTGGAGGCCCTGTCAGGCTTTCTGGAGCCCCCACATGCTTTTGAGAAGGTGAAGGGGTAAATAACTCTTAACCCCTCCAGGACACTTAGCAAAAACTGTTTCCTGAACCCGATTCTCATGACTGGGGATGGAATTTCAGGTGGGGGCTGGGTAGGGGCAGAGATGACTTCCCAGCATAATTCAAATGAGGAAAATGAGGCCTGGAGAAGCCCCATAACTAGCTTAAAGTCACACAGCAATCAAGGGCCCAGTCTGATCAAGTCCCAGAAACTGCAGATAGCTGACCGCAGGATCCTTGAACACGGATCATCATTGCCTTACTCCACTGTCCCGCAGCACTCCCCGGACTGAGGACCCAACATGGGGGTGAATCCCTGGCCAGAGTGGCTCAGTTGGTTGGAGCGTCCTCCCATACACCAAAAGGTGGCGGGTTGTATTCCCAGATTCCCGGTCAGGGCACATACCCAGGTTAGGGCTAGGGTTCAATCCTTGGTCGGGGTGGCATACGGGAGGCAACCAACAGATGTCTCTTTCTCTCTCTCTCTCTCTCTCTCTCTCTCTCTCTCTCTCTCTCTCTCTCTCTCTCTCTCTCTCTCTCTCTCTCTCTCTCCCTCCCCCCCTCCCTCCCTTTCTCTCTCTAAAATCAATGAAAAACAAACAAACAAGAAAAAGGGAGCCAAGCGAGGACCAAAGTGGGCTGCAAAGGCATCGCGCTACAGCAGCCAAGCGGCTGGGCTCTGCTTCCCCACCCTTTTGTTGCCATGGAGACAGCCCCTCCCCGCAATCGCGGTCAAAGGCAGGATTTCCGTCGGGGCGGCCAGCAATTCCCGGATCCCGAGAAGAACGTGGACCGAGACCGCCACTGCGGACAGGGAGGGGGCACCCAGAGAGGCCCATCCCTGCCGAGGGCGGGGACTTCCCCAGGAAGCCGGGACCCACACCTCTAGCTCCTTGAAGGAGTCCCCTCGGATTGCGCGACCCGCCCACCAGTGTGGGGGCGGAGGGTCTAAGGGGTTGATTCGCGACAGCCTTCACTCACTCCCCTCTAGGCTGTGGGCTTCGCCTCCGACTTCTGCCGATTCCAGATATGGACCCCCGGAATTGCGCCCCACATTCTGCATCCTCCAGAAATGGTTCTTCTTGATCCCCTTCCTGCAAACTCACTCACCTGATCCTCCCAGACCCCCCACCTGGTTCCCCTCACCCAGACCTCGCACTTGTCCCCAAACTCTCACTTCAAGGTCCCCTCAGTTTCTCTCCCAGCCCCTTTCGGAGGTCCGCTTAGTCCCTCTACCCCGACTCAGCCCCCTTCCCAAATTCTATTAATCTCACTCTACAGGTTCCCTCCGCTTTTTCCACCAGACCTTTTTAGGGAATCTGCTTTCCCCGTATTCCCTCAGCTTTCTCCCCAAGTGTTATCGGTCTTACTCTCTAGATGACCTCGGTTTTCCTCCTTAGAGCCTTTTCGGGGTGCTACCCCCTGGCCCTCAACTCCTGGCCTTCAATTTCCTCTGCTGCCCTCCCTAAATTCCCTTACCCCTCCCGCCCCCAGCCCTTCCTCCCAGGCCTACCTGGTCCCAGCGGAGGTCGCTTCTGACGGACCCCAGGGTGAGTCACTGGGGCTCCCAGCAGCCACAGGTGCCTACGTGGGGTGGGGGGAGAAAACTGGGGTGCTGGCCGCCTCTGACCGCCGTCCCCTCTGGGCAGGGAGGAAGAAGCCGTCTCGGACTTCTCTTTTGCAGCCGCAGCGGCGCGACGGCGGCGGCGGCGGCGGCGGCGGGGAAAACTCACAGTCACGCCCCAGCCCCAAGCCAGCTGCCCGCAGTGGGGAGGGGCCCTCAAATCCCAGGCCCGCCCGCCCCCACTTCCCGCCTACCCTGCTTTACCGAGGGTCGGCTGTCCCAGCCCTGTCCCTGCACCCCAGCTCCTCTCCGCAGACCTGAAACTACAGCACAGCCTTCCCGAAGGGCCCCTTCGAAAGGAGCAGGTTCCTTTCTTCCAGAAGCACCTGCTCTTTTAGAATCACTGCATTTGAGGTTAAGAGAAACTGTTCTTTGTCACTGAAGGCCTCTCCCCATTTTGCAGCTGGGAAAACTGAGGACCAGATGGGAAAAGGCCTTACCCAAATTCTCACAGCCAGTTGACCTGAGGCTGCTGTCAGCAGAGCCACCGCAGATCCAGTCACCAAGTCTTGCCATCCTCCTCAGGAGGCCTTCCCTCACCACCCCCATCCCCAACAGCATACTTAACACCTTCCCCCTGGTGAACACGGTTTTCAGGATGTATGGTATGGGATGTTTTCCTCAAGAGCAAGGACTGGGTCTGGCTCTTATCAATGCCCCTAGTGCCCATGCAGAGTCTGGCACAGGGTCACAGGCTCTCTGGGCATAGAAATACATGAATTATTCAGGAACAAAGGAATTCACAGGTGAACAAATGAAAGCCCAATGAAAGAATAAATAACTGAAGGTAAGAATTAAAGAATGAACTAGCCCTGGCCAAGTAGCTCAATTGGTTAGAGCACTGTCCTGATAAGCCAAGTTTGTGGGTTATCTCTGGTTAGGGCACACACAAGAAGCAACCAATTTGAGATTTGTCCCCGGCTCTGGTTGGGGGTTGTGTGGGAGGCAGCCACTCTATGTGTCCCTTTCATGTCGATGTTTCTCTCTCTCTCTCTTCTTCTCTCTCCCTCCCACTCTAACTGACCAAAAATGGAAAAATGTCCTCGGGTGAAGATAAAAAGAAAAAAAAAAAAAAGAAGCAATCAATGAATGCATAAATAAGTGGAACACAAATCAATGTTTCCCTCTCTCTCTCCCTCAAATCAATAATAAATAAATCAGCCCTGGCCGGTTTGGCTCAGCGATTGGAGCGTCGGCCTGCGGTCCAGAGAGACCCGGGTTTGGTTCCCGCTAAGGGCACGTACCTCGGTTGCAGTTTGTCCCCGGCCCTGGTTGGTCGTGCAGGTGGCAGCCACTCGATGTGTCCCTTCACATCGATGTTTCTCTCTCTCTCTTCCTCTCTCTCCCTCCCGCTCTATCTGAACAAAAAATGGAAAAATGTCCTCGGGTGAGGATAAATAATAATAAATAAATCAGTAATAATTAAAAATGAATAAAATTTTTAAAAAATCAATGACTAAATAAGCAAATAGACAGAGAAACAAAACTGCTTCTGCTTCTGAAATACAAATTGGGCCCTGGCCGGTTTTGCTCAGCGGTTAGAGCGTTGGCCTGTGGACCAAAGAGTCGCGGGTTCGATTCCAGCCAAGGGCACGTACCTCGGTTGCAGTTCACCTTCGACCCCTCTGAGACCATGCAGTTGGCAACCAATCGATATGCCTCTCTCACATCGATGTTTCTTTCTCTCTCTCCCTCCTGCTCTGTCTGAAGATAAATGTAAAAATATCCTCGGGTGAAGATTAAGGAAAAAAAAAAAAATTGGACCAAATTGGCGCTGGCCTGGTAGCACGTTTGGAGTGTCGTCTTGATGCACCAAGGTTGGGATTTAATCCTGGGCCATGAGTACATCAATAAGTGGAACAACAAAAAATCAATGTTTCTCTCTCTCTCTCTATCTCTCTCTCTCTCTCTATCTCTCTCTCTCTCCCCCTTTCTCTCTCTCTCAAATCAATAAAAAAAAAGTTTTAATTGGAACAAATTGCTTAAAACCCTCTAATGGCTTACCTCCCACTTTGCTTGCCTAATAAAAATACAATAAATAAAATAATAACAAAGAATAATAAAATCCAAACACCTTGCCATGGCCTCTCAAGCCTTGTGTACCTGGCCTTGCCCACCACTCCAGTTGAACCATCTTCCTCTTCAGCCATTGGAACCCTTCTCAGTTCTTAGAATACTTTGCCTCACATGCTGTTCCCTCATCCTAATATACTCTTTTCCCCGCTCTTCACAGTACTGGCTCCTTTCTATCCTTTACATGAAGTGCCACCTCCTCCAAGAACTCTTCTCTGACCACCTCATCTAAGGAAGTCTGCTCATCTTGCTCTTGGCACATAGTTTGTCTCCTTCATGGCAGTTGTCACAATCTAGAATTGTGTGTTTCTCAGTTCATTGTTGTCTCTGGATCTCTCTTGACCAGACCAGCACTCTGACCTCAAGAGATCCCTTCCATCACTCAGGACAGAGATTCTGACTCTTATTTATCCATTTAGAATAGCCTAGTGGTTAGAAATATGGACTCAGCCTCTTCCTAGCTCCATGACCTTGGACAAATGATTTTACCTTTTTGTGCCTCAGTTTCCTCATCTTTCGAATAGGATTAATAGTAGACCCCACTTCACAGGAGTCTTGGGAGAAGTCAATGAGCTGTTTGACTAGTGCTTGGCACCTGTGAAGTGACATATAAGTGTTTGCTATCATTCATTCATTTGATCAAACTTCAAGCCTTTCCTGTTACTACTCTGAGCCAGGCTGGGGGCTGGGAGCTCAGATTGGAATCAGGTCCAGTCCTTGTCCTCTATGTGGCACTCACTCCTTATATGGTACAGGTGATGGTGGGCACAGAGCAAAGAGGCCACAGGACTGGCCTGCTAAAATCCCCCACTATCCTTTCAGCCTCCGTGCTTACATGCTTTTTAAAATCAATTTTGAAAACTGATACCAAAACCAAAAACCAAAGCCCAGCAAGCCAGCTGAGACCATCTATTTCCCACCTAACCATCACTCTCCTGCTCTCACTTCTGTTTTTAATCAGTTTAGATTCTGTTGTCACTCCTTGTAGTCCTCCTTTGCAAAGACCCTGCACTGCTTGCATCCCTCTCCCTCTGTTGTACTTGCCTGGAAAGCCCCAGGTCTGCAGCAGTCCAACCAGCCACCTTCTCTGGGCATGCAGGAGAAAACTAACTGCAATGCAGACAGGATCATAACTCCAAGCCTCAAAAGGACACTAGCCATGCCCTAGCCGGTTTGGCTCAGTTGGTTGGAGCGCCGTCCCGTGCACCAAAAGGTTGCCAGTTCGATTCCTGTTCAGGGCACATACCTAGGTTGCGAGTTTGATCCTTGCTGGGGGCACATAAGGAAGGCAACTGATTGATATTTCTCATCTCTCTCTGTCTCTCTCTCTTTCTCTCTCGCTCCCTTCCTCCCTTCCCCTCTCTCTAAAATTAGTATAACATATCCTTGGATGAGGATTTAAAAAAAGGACACTAACCAGGCCCAGCAACTTTTCAGGGCAGTTTCTTGGTAAGCTGGCCCTCTCTGTCTGCCCAGATGACCAGTTCACACCCTTTTTTCTGTCCTCCAACTTTCCACCTCTTCTCCCTCTTCCCTACTTGCACTCCAAATCCTCTCACCTTTTGAGGACTTCACACCTTCTGTAACCCCCTTTCCTGTACCATCCACCTCTCCCTCTCCATAGAATTATCCTCTCAGCATACAAACAGATTCTAGAAATTTTTATTTACAAAGAAAAGACAAAAACCTTCCCTAAGGCTTAGAGAAT